AAACTCTACTCAGTTTTGAGAAGGAAAATGGTGACGCTCGTGATGAAGTTACTACCACTGCTGTGACTGTTACCGATAACAGGACATTTTCTGATGGAGCAAATGAACTCCATGTGAAGCAGAAGCCAACGCTACAGAGACCAGTACGGAAGAAGATACGTCCCGTAAAATTAAGAGACTTTGTTGAATTGTAATTTTGTGTTTGTAATTCTGTACATTTAATTAAGTTATTGTTAATTGTTATTGGTTTAGTGTAAGTGGCTATTGTTCGGGACGAACAACACTAAGGAAGGGGCAGTGATACGACATCGGAGGTCACGTGACGATAGTATCACGCCACAAGCCTCTCGAACGTTCACGTCCCTTTCTGAAATATCGGGAGTTTACTAGATCTCGGAATTCTTTTATATATAAGACGGTCACAACGTGACGGCAAAATGTAATGAGTAATTGAATGTATGCGGACAGAGAATATTGTTGGGCACGTGAGACGTTCGTTGTGAGTTATAGCGTTGGTTATACCGCGACTGTTGAAATTAAGTGTATTGCAAAGTTGTATTCAGAAAGAATAAACCAGGTTTATTTAAGAAAGGACTTGTATCGTTAGAGTTTCTTCGGAAATAATTTTTACGGAAAATTAACTAACGAACGGAGACGTAACAATAACTTACAATGAAATACGTGTAATATCTAGTGAAACCAGAAAATGACGAACAAGTTTAATTAGGGAAAGCTTAGAATAATTCAAGACACCATCTACTTCACTACTGTCTAATCTTATTCTGTCTAACGTAGTAAGATTTCCCAAAAATGGAAATTTCTTTCTGAAGATAATAGTTTCCTATTTTTACAATTAACTTAGTCTTTGTAGTCATAGAAATACCTTCTCCAAATTCAACATAAGTTGCTTAAAAGTTGGTGAAATAACTACTGTATCATTAACATAAGCTAAAGCTATGGTAAGTATCATATTTTAGCGAAAACTAAATTAATTACCTTCTAAAATATAGCAGGTGCATTTGATTAAGGCATAAATAAAAGGACCTGATTAAACTACACTGCCAATTCCAAATTCTAATAAATCCAATTTCTCCTAAAAACTCCAAAGCATCGTCAAGCTGAGGAAAAGGAAAGTTATACAAATGAGCTACAAAACTTAGACGTTAATACTCAATACAAAACATTGTATCAGTTATAGTTGTAGACTTGTAGTTACCAAAAGAAGAAGAAGTAAACATGAATAAGTGGATAATTAAATAACTCCAATTTCAAGTATTTTATCCACATGTTTATTCATTTGTGTCTGCTTAGTTGAAGATCTTGGACATCATGTTGAACTTATGAGTGATAGAGATGGCATTTCATGCTAAGAAACACCAACAATGTAACTTCAAAACATGCTCTCTAATCCAACAAGTACATTACCTCTTATAGAAGTCTTCTCAACTGTTATGTCCAACTCGAATTGTGTATTCAAAGTAGCACATCAATTGATCACGCACGATGGAGACAATCCCTAATTGACGAAACCTTTCCTAATATAACTGCATGCAACAATTAAGCCAGTAAAGCACAAAAATACATGGCAAAGCTTCTCCCTAAAACATCAAATTTCACTACATTATTTTTTATTGTCTATTTCTTTTTATAAAACAGCGAAATTCAGATAATTCATATTTATTACATGGTACACTACTGTTGTCTTGTGGATCCCAACAGGTTACTCTTAGCGAAAATCAATGAACCTGAAGACACTTGTTACTAAATAAATGAATTAATTTAGGTCAGTATCGAGCAAGCACTGTGCTTCAACTTCTGATCAGGACAGGATATTCTATATGCACAAACATATAGTCTCCATGTGTCTTTGTTTTTATACAAGTTAGATACAACTTTCAGCGACTAAAAAGCAATGCTGTACAAGTGTTCTTTTCTTTCTCAGTCCATATATTCACAGGCCACACTAACATATTGTTCTAACTGCATTGGTCATAGTTTGACCCTGAGTTAGAGCTCTAGTTTTCGGATCTTTGTTTGAATCCGTTCAATGCCATAAAATATTCACCACACTTTAAGCTGGGTGCATTGTAAGAG